GGGCTGGGGCCAGATGTTTCTGCTCAGTCTGTGTCAGGGCGGCAGAAAAAGCAGCCCCCGAAGCTCCTGAGCTCCCCGGGCACAGCACAGAGCGGGCACCGTGCCCTGGGCTCCTTCCCCCTCCTGCCCAGAGCACACAGAGCACACGAGCTGCTCCTGGCGCCGGCAGGAGCTCCTCCGAGTCAGAGTGGGACGTGCAGCTGCTCCCCCTGCCAGCGGGTGTCCAGGGCAGCAGGATCCCAGCTGTGGACAGGGCCGTGCTCCAGAGGACACGCGGCAGGGACAGCGGGTACGAGTCCCAGCTGTGCCCGGTGCTCCGGCGGGACCTGGAGCCGGGCTGGGCGGGCCAGGAGAGCGGGAACTGCCGGACCTGCTGCACGGACACCAGAGGAGCCCCTTTCCCTGTATTTGAGACGTTTTGTGGCAACTGGACGAGCTAAAACCACCTCCTGGCTGCTCTCTGGACCAAAGTGGGAGATGAGAAGGGACTGGAAAGGGATTTGGCCAAGCCAGCCTCCATGTCAGGACCAGGAAGCACATCCAAGAGCTGGAGTGAGGACCATCAGCATGAAGTTGGCACCACCAGCAGCTTGGACACTTCCTTCTCCTGTTGGGAACTGGTGGGGATGCAGTGTCTTCACTGTCCCTTGATGTGTTCTGGGCTGGGATCTTCCCTCCTCTCTGCTAGCCATGTTTAGAGCCAGCAGCTTCCTCTAGCTCCTCATGGAGCTGCTGACACAGTGGTCCCTCTGGAAGTCTCTCTTCAGCAGGAATATGTTCTTGGCCCTTCCAGAGTGAAAGCAGGTGCCAAGACTTGGGAGGGGAGGGTCATGGGGGTGAGATTTTTGCTCCTCACATGGTTTGGGGGGGTTGTCTTTGAGAATTTACAGATGTTTTTCACGTGGTTTTAACATGGTTTGTTTGGTGTTTTTTAGCAAACTTTTAAACTTTGTAATAAAGTGGAAGGTGAGATCCTGCTCTGCCATACACTGGAATGTGTCTGGTGGCCAAAGCACAGCCAAATTCTGTGAAACTTCCAGCAGCAGAGGTGGGGTGGAGAGAGGCCTTGCTGGAGGGGGTCTGTGGGTGCTGGGCAGTGGTGTTTCCAGCCACAGAACATCACCCCATGTGTGGTTTGCCAGAGGAATGTGGTCAACAAGCTCTGGAAAGCTGTTGTAGCCAGTGCAGGAGTGGTCCCCAGTAAGGAAGGATGTGGAGTAACTGGAGAGCAGTTGGAAAGAGCCTGTTGACCTCTCCTTGGCATGGGCCCAAGGGGAGGAGGTTCTGGGGTGTCTAAAAGCAGCCTTTTAGACAGCCCTTCTTGAAGGGCAGTTCCAAACTGGAGGGACCCAACCCTCCTGTGGTGCCAGGTGTGTCCCAAGGTGGGGCTTCCATGTGCAGATTGGGAAAAGGAGCTGTTCAGTGCCCAGCAGGGTGGGACAGCCCCAGGCCAGGCACCCAGAGGAGCTGAGGTCTGTCTGTCCTTGGAGATGTTCAGTCCTTGAGTGAAGGACAACCATCCCTCCTTCACTCAAGGCTCAAAGGCAGTCCTGAGCAGCAGGATCAGGTAGCCCTGCTGGGAGCAGATTTGGGAGACAGGAGGCTTCAGAGGTTCCTCCTGAGAGAAATCCTTCAGTACAACAGCCAAACTCCAGTTCTTTACCTGCTGGAGCCCCTGCAGGTAACAAAGGGCTGATCAAAGCTGCTGTGAGAGCTGAACCCTGCCCAGCACAGGCCTCTGCTGTGGAGATGTCCCTGTGCCACTGACTGTCCAGCAGGAAGGTAATTCCTGGGAGAGAGGTCAAGAGGGGCTTGGACCACCAACCAGCCACCACCCTGGTGTGCTCAGCCTCCTTAGGGAGTGACCACTCTGTGCCCCTCTGGCAGCCAAGAGGGTGTCCTGGGTGACTGGGAATGACCCCTCCAGGCCCTCTGGGGCTCAGAGCTCCAGGTTGTCCCCTGTGGACACTGAGATAATTCATGGCAGTGTTCCTTGATGGAGGAGGCCATGAGCTGCCCTGGGAGATCAGCAGGGGGGTGACTGATTGTCCTTCACCAAGCCTGGCCCTGATTGCTGCTTGTCCCCTCCTCACCTGACCAGTGACTTATGTGGGGGTCCCTGGGCTTGGGGACCCTGGATGCCTTGGGTCAGATGTGCTGGCTGGAGATACCAAATCCTGGAATGGTTTGGGTTGGAAGGAACCTTAAGGTCCATCCAGCTTCAACCCCCTGCCACGGGCAGGGACACCTTCCACTAGCCCAGGTTGCTCATTGTCACCTGGTGTAGACCCCCTCTGGCCAAGCACCCCTTTGTCCCTGTGGTGCTGAGGAGGGCACCAGGAAAGGTTGTGCCCCCTTGGGCTGGCACCGCCACAGACCTCCTGAGGTGCTGAGCAGGTGCTGGATCAGCTCCACTGCAGGTTCCTTCTCCCATTGGGCAGAGGAAGAGGAAGGTCCAAGGGCAGGTCTCAGCTTGGAAGCTCTGCCTGCCCTGTGCTGTCAGGGGGGGAGGGGTGGGGCTGATCCAGTCTCACCTGCCCCCGAGGTGCTGCTCGGGCACTGGGGGTCACTGGTGCTGGGGGGGTGTGCCAGACACAGACTGGGGATGCTGGGGGGGCTTTGAGCCCCCCCAGTCTGAGTATGACCCTTAGAGCTCCTCTCTGCTCAAACCAGGCTGAGCTGAACCTGCCCCCTCCAGCCTGGGCTGCTGTGGGGTTTGCTTGTTAAAGCTCTGCCCGTGCTGATGGGAACGGGCTGAGCTGCAGAGCTCAGGAGGGACAGGACGGGGCCAGGACTTGTCCCCCTCCCCACTCCCTGCCCCATCCTGCCTTCCCTCACACCCCTACTTCCTTCTGCCCCCCCTCCCCACTTCTACCCAAAAGTGACAAAAAGCAGGGCAGGGCTGGTATAGAGAGTGTCCAGGTGGGCTCTGGTGTGGGCAGGAGGGACCCGTGTCACCCTCCCTTTGTAACTCACTGCAGAAAACACCCCAGGAACGTCCTGGCCGGACAAAGCAGCTGCTCCCATGGTTTGGGTTTGGGCTGCAGAGCTGCCCCTGGACACCCAAAGGTGGACATGGGAGCCCTGGGGTGAGAAGGGTGTGGGCACAGGGGGGCTGGAGGCAGGGGCTTGGAAAAGAGGGAGAGGGGACAGAGACTGGCACAGCTCCCTGGAGCCTGG